AAGCGAGTCTCTTGCCTCCGCCTCCCAAGTAGCTGGGACCACAGGCGCCCGCCACAACGCCCGGCTATTTTTTTGGTTGCAGCCGTCATTGTTGTTTGGCAGCCCGGGGCTGGATTCGAACCTTAGGTGTATGTGGCTGGCGCCTTAGCCACTTGAGCCACAGGCGCTGAGCCTTCCATGAATATTCTAACATATATATATGTAGTATATAGGTAGTGTGTAGTAATATAGATATTTTGAATTGATGAACATAGGATGAGTGTGTTGAAAACAATAATAAAAATTAAGACAGGTTTTCCTGGGGCCAAGCTCAGTGGCTCACGCCCGTAATCCCAATCCCAGCACTCTGGGAGACCGAGGCAAGTGGATTGCCTGAACTCAGGAATTGGAGACCAGCCTGAGCAAGAGCAAGAACCTGTCTCTAAAAGTAGCTGGACACTGTGGTGGGCACCGGCAGTCCCAGCTACTTGGGAGGCTGAGGCAAGAAGATCACTTGAGCCCAGGAGTCTGAGGTTGCTGTGAGCTGTGATGATGCCAAGGCACTCTACCAAGGGTGACAAACTGAAACTCTGTCTCAAAAAAAAAAAAAAGAAAGAAAGAAAGAAAGGTTTTCCTAGGAAATCATAAAAGAAGATGGAATTTCAGTACCTTAAAACTCTTTATAACTAAATTTTTTCCATCTAAAATTGGTGCTTTTAATAAAGTTAACTATCAAAATGAAGGATTAAAGGGTAAACATGTTGGTTCTGTTGATCTTCTCTATTAGGGGCTCTTCTTGGTGGCTTACTGTCTCCATTTTGTCCCCAAGGTCTTAGGGAGAGGGTTATAGGGAGCTGATTTAGTCAGATTTTAAATGAAACTGAAATGAAAGTTCACTTCCTCATTGTGGATACCTCACGTGACAAGTTCCAATTTCTTTTTAAAGTCAATTCAACTGAAGTTTCCTTGCTGCCTCTGAAATCTTTGGAGAGAGCCCACCAATTGGACAACTTACTCTTGAGAGGTGTGTGGATTCTGCTGAGTAAGTACCATTTGTTCTTTTTCTCGCTTTGGTCTTCAAACACTCCGTACATGTTTTAGCTTGCTCTGCTGGCCAGGTTTTAAATCCTTGGTTTCAGGAAGTAAACTAAAAAATCATGTCACTCACTTTGCCCTTCCTTTTCTGATTAAAGTGTCTTATGTTTTAAAAAGTTAATGTCTGCTCGGGCACCTAAATTGAGGCTGAAAGGTGGCTTTCTGTGGAATATAATTTGAAGGTTTATATAATTCATTCCAAATGTTTTGAATTACAAAGAATTGGAAAAGAAAGTAGAATCCAGTTTGAGGGAACTGGTTATTGAATTTATGTTCAAGTCTCTTTGACTTAAATATAAAAGTGTTTTAAGGAATAATTGCTTCATTTGAAATAGACATTTGAACATTGAAAAAAAAGGAAAATTACATGAAGATGTGAACGCAGTAGATGAGAGTCTTTTAGCTATCTATAAAGGTTGTGAAGATTTAAATAGACTAGTTAAGAAGAGCCCATATATTCTTTTTTTTTTTTTTTTTTTTGAGACAGAGCC